TCGATCATTCAAACTCAAACAGTTATGATAAACAGCTCTCAGTTTTCAAAACAAGAAATTCAAGAGTCAGCACAATAAACCTAATTCATCGTAAATGTAACGAATCCTAGCATGTATCAAATATCAATTGTCGTCGTAAAAATAATAAGTTCCGTACATGTCAAAAATATTTCTTATTTTTTCTATGGCACTTGCCGATATTCCAAGGACAATTGTTAATTGCGGCTGTGTAGAAGTTAAAATGTGTTAAAGTTGTCTTTTTATATTTACGTCGACAAAATTAAAAGGTATCCAAAAATGTTGGATTAAAATTGACGTAAATCAAAATCTTCATGTCAAGTAATGAGCGATGTCCGCGAAATGGCGCAATTTTCGAAATTTTTACCTCAAAATTGTTGTACAAAATCCCTTCTTCTCAAAATAATTTTAGATGAAAACAATTTCAAGAGCTTTTTTGTTGACACAAAAACTAAATCAAAGAAAAATGTTAATTTAAAATTTGAAAATTAGAAGTTGTAATGAAATAATTGAGTTTCAACAGCAGTACAATGGATGTAGGGCGACAAAAGATTTTATGATAAATTTGCCGGGTTCACGTAATCATCTCCCATTTGAAGTGCATTACGTGTGGGTTTTATAGCCTGCCAGTGAACCCGGTAGACAAATCGCACAACACGGAAACTAGGGAATTAAAAGTGCAATTTTCAATTTTTAAATTATGAAATATTGTACACCGGCAAAAAAAGCGGCCACCCTGAAAATATGCAAAGCGCTGACTACGACCATCCTCTATCAGAGCGACAATTTGAGAGAAGTCTGTAAGAGTTAACGCCATTGTTTTCGCGTGAAAACGTTTATTAACTGCCAAACTTATAATCAAATGAAGAAAAACACTGGTTACAATAAGAGCCCTTTTTATTGTTTTAATTAAAAAAATATCGTACTTGCTCTGTTTCTATTATTTTGTTAAATTAAATTTAAGTCTGCGTTTATATGTCTTCTTTTTTTGCTAATTTGTACAACATGTGTCAATAGTGAATGGTTCTTTAATAAAATAACGATCACTAGTTAAATTAATAATTTTTAAAATGGTTTTGCGAAATTTTATATTAAAGCCAAACCAGCCGTTTCGAAGATACTGGTTTACAATAAATAGCAGTGAGCGTCATTAAAAGTTTTCCGATTGGTTACGCGAGGTAGAATAAACAACCATTAGAAAAATTACGTTTTGATTGAAATTATTTAATAATTTTCTTTCCGTTTTTAGTTCATCAAATAATTATGTAAACTCAATAAATAAAATTTTATGACACAGTTTTAAGAAGGTATTTTTTTTTCAAATCAAATGCAGTTGTCTATGATGGTCTTTTAACTAAAATGTTAAAACTGTGTTCTTCTGTAGTAGTTAAATATTTAAATACACGTATTGTTGATTATTTTCTAGAAGCGGAACAGAAGCCGTTTTTAAATTTGAGATCCAATTTATGAATGTGTTGTATCGTATTTATCCTTTAGATAGAGGTGAATCTAGGTTACTTAAAGAGATTCCGACTCATTCCAAGTAGGACTAAAATTCCATAAAAACAAATGGATCGCCACCGTCAAACGGTCAGTGCAAGATGAATTAAGTTATATTACACATCCATGAATATATACTTGACTTATTATTTATTACAGTAGGTATTATCAAAAAAATGAAAATTTACAATTTTCGAAAATCCAAAAAAAAATGGTTTTGTAAAAACATATAAAAAAACTTTAACGAAAATAGAATTCTTAAAATTATTGCAAAGTTTAGTCTGTCTCATTAGAACTTTTGTTTTCGTCGGTTTATTCGGAATCCTCATTATCTCCACTTCGAAAAATATTTCTTCTGTTTTTCTTACTACTATTAATCCATTTTAAATAAGACGTGCTTGCAACAGGTTTTGTTGTTCTCTTATTCGACTTTAATTAAAAAAAAACATTCCATTTCCCAAATTCCATCTCCATTGGCGTCAAGTTTGAAAAACTTTGCAGCATTTTAATAAATAGCCTCAGATATTAAACCGGATACTTTTGGGGTATCTATTTACTAAAAACACCACTACCAGTAGTAAGGTAAAAAATTTACGCTTAATTATGGATCACGATTTTAAGATTTAAAATTCCTGTTAACGTCATTGTAAAAAAATATTTCTCGCGTTAAAGTGGCTCTATTATAGTGATTACAACACTCTAAACTTCAAGATGGGAAAAAACTACGTGAAAGCTTGGTTCTGTCAATTCCAAATTACGCTTTAATAGCTAATTTATCCTTCCCTTGAGTACAAAGCTAAACGTAAGTTACTTAGTTACAAAAAAAAGTATGATCATTTATTACAATACATTAAAAATTTGGGGTGGTTAGAAGATGAAAAAGTTTTTAAGTATCATCTGTCAGTATTTCTGTAAAAATTTTAAATTAAAATACGAGAAGTACTTGGTATGCATCATGTTTTTTTTGCCATCTTACTATTTCTCGTTTATGTAGATGTTTCTTTGGTTTTGTACCGGCGGTAGCTAAGTAGAATAGGAAAGTTGGACTTGCAAGAAAAAAATTAAATTCATTTTACCCCGAAACGAAGACACACGAAAAATTAACGTACTAATACTGTTTACTATACAACATGTCGTAAAATTTAGCTTTCACCACATTATTGTTCGTGTGCGAATTTTTAAGCAGGGTGGAAAACAAAAATAAGCAAACAATGTTTTCACGTTTTAATGATCTCTTGAAAATTGAGGTGTAGGCTCTTTTTTCATTGAATTTTCACAAATTACTACGATTTGATGGCTTAGAGCCAATTTATGCACAGGATGCCCGGCGCCTCCACCATCGTTCCAGACTGTGCAACACATCATGTCAGTTACGGAGAATTGTTCGGCCGTTCCAAATGTTTTAATATTAAATTGCTTCCAAAGTGCATCAATAATTGAATTGTTGTATGTACAATAATTGTTGTAGTCATGCAAATAAATTAACTCGAAGATGTTTTGGGGGTTCACATCAATCCTGTTGGCGTTAAATGCATGTCGTGAGAAGCGGTCTCTTACATCCATAGTTATCAGATGATGTTAGATTGGAACGAAATTAACTTGTTTTAACTGATTTTGTTGTGTGGCAATGAAGTACGCTATTAATAATTCACAAAGGAGAAATATCTGTAAATTTACATCAAGTAACAGATCTGCCATTTGAAAATCAGTATTTGTTAGGAAGAAGAAACAAATTTTTAGCATATTTATTCTCCTCCAGTCGTTAACTAACTGATAAAATTTTGTGTACTTTTTCTGTATTTTTATTTTAGTTAACAGGAAATTTAAATATAGTTAAAATTAAATTGTGCTGATATATTCGGCGTTGTTTATTCCAGCCAGTAAGAAAGAATGAGAATCTAAGGCTGCATTCTGATATATTCGGGTTATTTACGGAAATAATCACAACTGAACAATCATTTGATCATCGAATTGTCTACCTACGAATCTCTGAAATTCTGCTCGACTTGATTAATTATACGAACAGATCTGATGCGGCATGCATCCATGTTGCCTGGTTTCTCTTGCGGAGGATATTCGATCCTAAACGTATATTATGACAATGCCAGTAGCCAATCGATTGTTTGGATTTTTCACGCCTATGAACGATTGATTATCCATGTACACTGTAAATTCATGGTTGTCTAAATAAATTCTAAATTGTTTAGTTACCCATATAAGGAACAACGTTGTGCAGAAATTTTTCTCAACTTCTATACTTGCGTAAACTACAGAAAACTTCGTCTAGGTGGTTTCGATATCAAAACTATTGAGATAAATAATAGAGAGATTCCTAGCACTGTGATTATCGTCGAATTCTTTTAATTACTACCATCTTCTTCAGATTTAAGTGTGCTCCGTCTGCTTAAATGATAATTGAGCATGTACGAGGTGTTTAGCTTCATAATTGGCAGTTCTCGTTATTTATTATTTTTCCAAAAAAGCATGATTTCCTTCAAATACACGTACCGGTGTGCTTGGCAGGAAGTGGTGGCCTTAAATAATTAATGCAAATAGGTTTGATTCCGTTGTTACCTTCCAGGTGTTAACATATCGTTTTCTTCCAATCTCTCGCGCCGACTTCTTACTAATTTCCATTACCCGTTTGACATGTCCAGATTTTTAAAAATTGGGCTAAACAGGTATTAGTGCTGTGGAAGATTTTGCGACTGTTCTTTACGTAGTCCTAAGAAGTAGCCAATATCCACCAAAGTGTAAAAAAACTATGATTATTTGTTACGTGTTATTGTTTTGTTTTTTTTACTACGTAGCAAAATAAATTTTATGTTTATTTTGAATCGCATTTTTTTGAGATCTTCAAATTTTTAAAACTGTATTTTATTGTTGACAGAAACACTTTCAAATGTGCTTCACTTTTTACCTTGCGAGAGTAAGCTAAGGAAGTACTGTAATAGGGTCCTTCATGCAAATAGCTGCTTGCATTTTCTCTGTACATTTTATTGCACCAAGAGTACGAAAAATTGGTCTCCCGTTTCAGTTTGTCTGTCGTCTGTCGTCAGTCGTCTGCCTCGATTTTTATTAGACCGATAATCTCCGAAACTACTGAATCGTTGTTATTTAATTTTATATGCATTTTAAGAACGGCATGCATCATTTCCACCAGTAATGTGATAACGTCATCTCAAAATTGTAAATGACTAAATTTTAAAAATAACATCCTCGTACACTTACGGTTAATGAATCTGGTGAGCTATCGGCTATTGCATTGCACAATAAAGCTGTTTTTGTAGTAAGTAATTTTAATTTGTGTATGAGTGATTAAAAATTTTTCGAACAGTCCTCGTATGTCACCATGTATATGCTTGTGAAGCCATTCACAAAGTGACTATCTGAATTTCAAAATTTGCACCTCTACTTATTCAACTTTATTGTTCACACTTATACAATTATTATCCTTTACTAGTGTAGATACTTCATTTCAGCCCAAAGTACGGACCTGTTAGAAGATTGCCAAAAGTTGCTGGAAAGGTTTAAATACCCCTGGGAGATGATGCCGTTGATGTATGCCATTTTGAAGGATGCCAGAGCCGACCTTGAAGAAGCTTCCAGGCGGATCGATGAAGGTGAGTGTCCCATCATTTCTTTGATTGCTTTTTCTGTTTACATTGTAGAACAGTTGAAAAATAATGTTAACAGAAGTGCTTGTTAAAATCGATTTCAAGCATTTCTGGTTAAATTAGCATCTGTAACTTAAATTGCTAATGATTAATAGATAACTCGTTTAGGAAAGCGTGTTGTAAATGAATACTCAAGAATTCACAACCTCAACATGTACGACGGAGTGGAGCTTCGAAACTCAACGCGTCAGTATGGATGATTAAAAAATTAAATTTCATCTAAAGCTATTGTTTTAATTTTTTTTGTGATAATTTTTGACTCTTTAAAATTTTTGGCATTTTTCCAATCTTTTACCCATTTTCGTAACAAATAATGCATGTCTTCTTTTTTCCTTACTATTTATAGATAACAAGAGCCAAGAAAGAAGAAACTTCAGCAGCAATCCATCCTTCAAGTCTGTCAATCTGCAGTTTAAATGCAACGTTTTAATATAGACCTCATCAACGAAGCCATCGTTTTCACTTAGTTTTATTAAATGTAGCATAATTAAATTATTTGACTTCAAAAGTATTAATTGTACAAGCAAGCACTCAAGAGTAACATAGAAGACAGATGTTTTCGTCAGTTTTTGTGGACATTGTTGTCATGTTCCTAAAGATAACATGTAGCTTTAACTTTTACATTTGCTAAGCATTTTAAAGTAAATCTGAACATTTAAAATGTTTAAAGTATAATTTGATGCAAAATTTATGACAACTGGAACGCTTGTATCAAATGTTTTTGAAGAAGTTGCAAATGAGCCACAAGAGCTTTCTAAATCATATTGAGGTAAGTCTTTAGCTATTTGAAAACAGCTGAAAAACTACCAAATGGAAATTGTAGTTCGTATACCGAATGTCTTTACTACCAACTTATGAGTCTTAAAATTGGGAGGGTGGGCATGCAAATTATTATTTGAGCCAGTGAATACAAACATATGTAGTTCCAAACCAGCACAGGTAATAAGACAACGAGTCGAAGAATAAAATTATAATTAGATAGTTTAATAATACAATAAATGTTCACTCCAGTTACTCAAGCAAAGTCAAACTAATTATGATCTTGGTTTTAATGTTCTTTACTTACTTACATACTTGCAAGGAGAAACCACTTGACAACATTAAGTGTCAACGTGCGACTTTTTTTATTATTCAATTAGCAATTACTGTCACCACTAATATTAATCATCAGTCCCATAATGAAAACAATCGTATTGCAAATCGACACGTGTCTCGAAGTCATTTCCTTGTTTATAATTACGGATTTGCGATAAATTATACGGATAACGCTTAATGAAATGCCAAATATATTGTTTTTACATTTCAATTTACATACATCGCTTATTTGTTGGTAAAAAGCGTAAGTCGTGGCTCATTGTTTCACTTTTTTGTATGATAATGGGCAGATCTAGCAAGTAATGCTAAAGCAAGCTAGCATTAAGTCGTGCTTTTTTAAAATTTTATAGTTTTAAGGGAGAAATATGGAGTGAATATTCTCAAAGAATTTTGGGTCTACATTTAGATACTACAACATTTACACTGTATCAGGCACTTTGCGTCACCTGAAATTAAATGCATTAAATCAAACATTATTATAAATAATATGTTACGGATCCAATCCGATTAACTCAACTGTATTAACCCCCAACGTCGTTAATATTTTGTTTTGTAACTCCTTTATTTGTTGTGTCAAACACTCGATGTATGGTCTCGAAGACAACCGGTAATTTGATATAGGTTCGTAGGCACTTATCTAAATGAATCTAGAATATATATATATTTTTTTTAGTTTTTGGAATGACTGTCGATTTAGACGACAGGAAAGGGGTCTAGTGTAATCTATTCAGTGCTGACTTTTAAGCGTGTTATTTATTTTTGGTAACACAGTAATCTTCGTCTTGACCGGACATGTAATGTAACTGTCATCGACTGCCCCAGATGCATTAGATAAAGGAATTTAATGTAAGGCCGATAAAAACAATGATGAATGCATAATACGATAATTGTAATGGGGCAATTTTTATGTATCAGTAAAACACGAAACATTACAACACTATTCATAATTCGGTAACTAGGTAACAGGAAATTTAACCTAACTTTGCTCTACGGCGTTGCAGTGTTGGGAAACTGTAAAAATGTAAAGGAATAGTTTAGATCATCTCTTATTAATCGATCGATAAGTTGTTTGAAAACCACTAGCTATTAAGCAGATAAATAATATAACAGAAGAAGTGTCTGTAGAAACATTATAAATAAAACGTTTGTAATATTTAATCTGTATTAAAAATATCAATCGTTTTTCGTAATTGCAATTGTTTCCGTTGTAGATAGTAGATGATGGGAGGCAATTTAATGGTTCTGTTCACATGTATTATTTATACATCCTGTATAAATTAGTTTACTTGGACAGTTTGTAAATAAGTATAATTAATGTTCATTAATAACAAAAACTGTATTTACATCAGTCGGCGAAACCATATACAATCAAAATATACTGACTCGTAGTAGTAATCAACTTGTTAGAAGAAGAACGCAGATCATTTGAATAGAATACATTTTTTATTAGTAACTTTTAATAATATTCTTAGATTGGTTGTAGTTTTTTCATTGTCATACTTTGGTGAAACATTTCAGTCTTTGAAATACGTCAAAATAATTTATATTCTAAAAAATTACAGTTTATGTACATTAGACTTGTAGGTACCACGACTTACAACAGTCATAATTTACTGTCAAAATAAACATACGACAATATTACAAGCTTTTACATGTATTTCGTTTCACAAAAAAGTAAGAGTAAATTATTTGTTTAACAATTGGTTATGAAATTTGTAAAAATCTGTTAAAAATAAATATGTTTAAAATGAGTGCTGTTTATGCAGATGGAGGTAGAGCCCATATTACACTTGCAACATTGAATTGTCTACAAGCAGGAACAAATATTTCATGACCAGCTCGTTCTCCAGATATTACTCCTCCCAATCTCTCTATATTTGCTTATCTAACAACCTCAATTTTTTAGTGTAATACGGAGACTTCAGAATATTTGTGAAAATAAAAAGAGAAGAAGTGTAAGAGTTTCTAGCAAAATATTAGTTGACGATTTGAATAACATATTTCGTTTAGTTCACTTTTAAAAATCTTGCAACACAGTTGTGTCAGTTATTTTAAGTTTAATCCTTTATAAAAAGTAAAAAATGCTTTACGATAATGAATTAAATATCAATTAATTTCGTGGTAAACACATTGAAAACTGTAAAAATTAGTACTTTTGAATTTTTTAACTTCACAGTGAGAGGTTGCAAATATGGTATTTATGTAACGCCCATGTCATAATTTTAAAAGCTGAAGATAGGATTATCATGCTGAGTGTCAAGTAAATACACATCACCTTAATTACATGACTTAACTTTGAGAAGAAGAAAAAATGTATCCGAATAAAATTTGATAAAAAAAAAATTCTTTTTACGATTTTGTAATTACAAGAGCTTAAATTCAATGGTTATATGTTATCATTAATACTGTTAGCACTAATTACAACTCTTACAACAATTTTTAAATTGCTATTATTATTTAGCCTAGTCTTGATCCAGACATTTTAAATGAATCCACTTTGACATTATATTAATTATATTAATGTTAATTCGATGTATGATGTAATTTTGAAAATTTGAGTTTAAAGGAGAAATATTGTTGCGCAAAAAATTCGGTAACATTATTGATACAGAAACTGCTCGCCGCATGACAACGCGTGTATTTCAAGGTTTATTTTTTAATAAAGTTTTGTTTAACATATTATGCATTTTGTAATGGTCTCGCCTTTTTGGTGGAGATAAACATTATTGGCAAAATTATAGGTAGGTAATAGATTTTTTACATTTTGTTACTGTAAGCAATAAAAAATACAAGTATAATATTTGTCACTAAATTTGTTTTGTAATCCGGAAGTGGGTGCCTAAATTTTGGGAAAATCTCGCACATAAATGGCGAATCTCCATAATTCATACTATTCAAATTACGCTCTACGTATAGCTAAAGAGTATACGCATTGTCGTGAACCACTGGCAAAGTTAACATTCAATCGTGAAATAAAGATAAGTTTTGGTGAACGTTCTAGCATTCGCATGCAAAGTTTTAAGTACACTAGAAATTACAAAGTAATCGGTTCAGTAGTTTTGAAGATACAAACAGGGCTTAGCTTACAAACAGGGGCACTCACCAATAAAAACAGGAATTCTTACGAGTCCGTGTTTTAAAACGCCAAGAAAACAAAATCATTTTCATTCATCAAGTAAATAAATAAAACAAAATAAATAGAAAACAATGAGATAAATTAATCAACTTTAAATATTACGTACGACATTGTTGCCTTAATGATTTACTTATTGCTCTATTACCACTACGTTTGGAACGTTATACTGTTAAGCAGATATTGCCATAGTTGATAAAAAAGAAGCTAAAATTGTCCTTGTTCTAATTACAGCAAATTCAATTGTCGGAGAAAATATTTCCGCAACTTAAAATTGGTTTGAGTTATTACACCAAAAACGTGCATTAATGCTCAAAACACGATTTACGTAGTCACAAGATTGATAATTTTCGATTTAAAAAACGTAACAGACAGTTATAAGTCAATTTACTAAATTTATCTTAAATTGTTGGCCTTGGCAATGATATTGGTGCAGTATTATTCATAAAAGTGTATGCAAGTGTCTGGTCAGATAAGTATTTTTTCCGTATTATCAGAATTATCTTCTATAGCAACAATGTTAACCTTGTACTTTGTGTATACATTTTACTTATTAGACACGTGTGTAAATGTTAATATTTTATAATAGTTACTATGTCGTTAGGTTTCATGGTCGAGTTCATTGTTGAGGTAGGTTAAGTAGAAGGTAATTGATAATTTCTGTACTAAATAAACCTTGACTTCAACTTAATTGAACTTGATTGTTAAAAAAAATACA